GAAAGAGCAAACCGAGCTGATTACGTCCAAAGGCAACAGATTGAGTTGGTCTGTTGCTGTGTCAGACAAATTGTTCGGTCTCAAGTCATACAAAGCAACTGTTAGATTATTAGCAATATCTTGTATAAACAGTCATGATATGACACTTAAAAAATTTATTGAAGGCCCTAAAATACCTGGATTTACAATCGTTTACTCTATTAACAAAGATTATTCAATTGAAAAAGAAGTATTGTTACAATTTGAACATGGTGGAGTAGTCAAATTGTTTTCAAAAAATGAAGATAATGAAAAGACAGATATGAACGGTCAAAATATGGATATTAAAAAGACCAATGCGGACAAGAATACGGATATCAAAAAGAATGATGATGATAACCTGAATATGGATATCAAAGAGACCGATAATCAAAATATGGATAAATACTTTCTTATTATTTTAAATGTTTCTGGGATTTATAAGTATCACTTTGTACACTTGAATCGCAAATCTATTGGCGAAATTCAAAAATTAAAATATCCAAAGCGAATATATAGTGCCATGATTAATAATAGCAAATTAGATAATCCTATGAGTCATGATGGGAAACTTGTGCTTGCAAATTTGAATTTAAAATATATTCTAAGATGTTTAGATAAGCATTATTTTTTCGTAGATACTATACGTGGGGGTGCGCGATACATGGAACTTTACAATTTAAAAACAAACCAATTAGTAATTACCTTTCATAGACAAATTTTATATGAACTAGATTTCATGGCAGATGTTCCTGATAATTTCGCAATATCAAACAATAGCAAATTATTAGCATATAGATCTGGAAGTAGAGTTAAATTATTCTTGATTGAGTGTGGTTTTGAGATAGCATCTATAGGGCTTGAGACTGGCGAAGAATCTTCTATTGAGTCTTTCATGTATTTTTTTAACGGCGATGAGAAATTATTAATATATCAATCAGAAAATAAATGGTCAATCTGGAATATTTTCGGCACAATACAAAAATCAGTTAAACTCAAAAATCAAATAGAACTTGATCTTAAAATTAAAAGTAATTTGTTTGAAAAACCTGATTATCAATTGGAGAGATCGAACTCCTTCATAGTCGTTGTTAATAACAAGGAAGAGAAACAAGGTATTCTTTCCGAGTATAAGCGAATTTATGATGATCTAATCTTAGAGCATTTAAAGAGGAATGATGACGAACAAGGCTTGAAAGTTCTACCGCAAAAAGGAGACTATCATCAAACATCAGAATTCTATGAAATAATTGAACCTTGGCTACCTCACGGGGGCCCACAACATTCGGTTTTTCTCGATAAAAAAAGGAAATTTTACTTTTGATCGGACGACATACAATCCAGATTTGGTATGATCGAGATGAAAAAAGAACTCTTGAATTCATTAGTGTGATCGATAATATTGAAAACTTGAATGAAGGAGATAATATTAAAAAAATCGAGTATGGAATCAGAAAATTTAAACTTTCAATTCAAATCGAAAATTCTAAATTAATTGAAATGGAAGGTGACATTGATGTAATTAATGCAGTAAAAAAAGCTTGTCACACGTTAAAATATTTATATCGGGTATATCTAGTACCTCATTACTCTAGGATATTAGTCCATGAAAATCTTTTAAAATTCAAAGAGATAGTCAAACAAACACGAAACATTATTGTAAAATTTATTCAGTTATATCCGATTGTTTGGCGATTATTAGATTTTCGCTTTGATTTGTTGAGCATTCTAATAGAAGCGAGAGAATATTCACTTATAAAATATATATTATTTAATGAAAAAAAAGCCATCAATAATGTCGATGATCCCGAAAACTACATTCTTAAAACCCTTGATAGTATAGCATCCAAATTTGAAATTAATAAACAAGTTTCACAAGACATAAAGCCAGAGCAAAATAGAGCATTGCATGAGAAATCACTTCACATGCCACAATATTATTCGTGGGAAGGTGGAAACAATACAATTCGTAAAGCGCTCTTAGGTTGGCTTATTTAAATTTGCGCTAATTAACTGTAAACGCATTTTACATGTTAGATGTTAATTTATTAATCCTTTTTTGTTAGATGATGATCCAATCTTTCTAGGATATTTTTTAGAGTATTATTCTAATAAAGCAGTCGATGAAATTGGGTGGATGATTACAGTTGGCGAAATCATACCAGAGCTATATGAAGAAAATAATAAAAATTTTGGTCAGTTATGTGCATTTTCTCATTTAATCTACGTATTGATATCTTAAATGTTTATTTTTATTTTATTTTATTTTATAGGATTTTATAAGTCCTATATTCAAATATTATTTTATAAACCCTGCTTCTGTGCTAAAGTATTAGATATACCCTTTTTTGAGTTTCTTGAAGTTTCACCATCTTTAAATGATTTTTTGGAGGTTTTTGTACCCATAACACAGTTAGTTCCAGAGGAATCCGTTTTGGAAGTAAAAGAAATCAGGTAAGATTTGAGATGGATTACCGTATTGTTCCAAAATTAAGCACCCTTTTTTGTTAAAAGAGATGCTTAATTTCGGATACTTTTATGTAGCTAAAATTTATATGAACGAACATAAAATGCAAGAACCAAATAGGAAAATATCATTTATTATATCACTTCTATAGATGAGAGTGCCCAGACTTGTACTCTTTCAAGGATTTTTCATTGATAAATCTCTGAAATCACTAAGTCTGAGCACTTTAATACCAGATTCTAAAGCAAAGAGAAAACCCGATGTAAATATGAGGGGTGCTTATTATTACTAATTTAATTAAATTTTAAATACAGCCTTGATAAAATTCCTGATATGCGAATGGTGCCTTTAATTGATTTCACGACAAGTAATGAATTGCTGGAAAAAAGAGGAAACAAATATCTGAATATTTTAAAATCTATTTTTCGTCCTAGTGAATTTGTATATCAGGATAAGTACTATAATCCTTTTCTTTTTCTCATAAACGCAGTTGAAAATAATTATGATGATCCTTTTTACTATAACCCATCCATGGAGGCCATTATAAATTTTATGTGGTATTCAACTGAATCACATTGGCCCTCAACCTTATACGTTTATATATTATATCTTTTATCTTATTCAATTATTTCCTGGATGTTTATTGCACACATTGAAGTTAATGGTGAATTTCAACATATTCTGGTGTTTTTAACCATTTTATTATTTTTTTATTCGAATTATTACCATCTCATGATCGAATACCAACAACTTCGTTTTAGAATAATTAAACATGACATATCAAAATATTGTAAAGATCCTTTTAATTGGGTCGACCTTTTTGTTTTTTTTTTACCATTAACTATTTCTGCTTATATTATGGTACAATATTATACATTTGAGGATGGATTTAAATATGCTAAAAGTAGCCTCTTTATGTCATTTATCATTTTTATAAGTATTTTAGGCATTTGGTATGAACTCGTAAGTATATAATTTATTATATTATTATTATTATTATATATATATGTTTTGTTTATAATATTATTGTTTAGGTTTTATTATTACGTTTTGTTCCGGGTATTGTATATACATTAATTTTTTTTAATTTATATTAGCTTAAAATTACATATATTAATATTTGAATATTAGGTTTTGCACATTACCTAAATATACTTTATAATATTATTGCTAAAATACGATTGTTTTTATTATTTTTTGCTTTAACCGTAATTGCAATGGTTGTATCTCTAATTTAATTATTTTTATTGTATTATCATTAATTTTATATATTATTCTTATATTTAATTTTTTATTTTCCCTTTTCAGGGTCATGCATTGTAAGTTGACTATAAATAAACAATCTTTTAAATTTTTACTAATATATATTTATATGCAGATTTATTTTACTTGGTTATGCATCATATATTGGGCTAAGTCAATCTCCAACAACATATGAAGTTTCTAATGGGAGTGATTTGGTCTTTAATATGACTGGAGAAGAACCGAACAATTTATTTTCAAACTTCTTCAGTGCTATAATTGCTGTATATAATTGGGATTCAGTTCCATTAGATACTTGGGGATTCTGGCCTCTCATTATCATGAGTGTAGTTGGTAATGTTATTTTTGTCATTATACTACAAAATGTTATTATTTCATTTATGAGGTATGTTAAATAACTATTAGTTTAATATTACTTTTAAAAAAATTGTTTCTTAATAATAATTATTGTAAATTTATTAAAAGTGCGGCCTTTGAGGATGCTGATAAAGATGGAAAACATGCAGTTCTTTTTAATCAAAGTAAATTAATTTATGATTATGCATTCAATGAAAATTCGATTTTTTTTTCGGGACAAACTGATTTAGATTCTAAGCTTAAAGATAAGTTAAGAGTAAAGTATATATGTTTTTATAATGAACTATCAATTACAGAAGCATGGAGAGAGAAATCTTTAAAATGGGAATCGATTCCAATGTATTCAATTGTTGAAAGACAAAGACAAGTACAAATAGAAAGTGAAAATAAATTTGTTATTAAAGATGAAGACATTAAATTTATTTTGGCTTCAGAAGAAAATGAAATAGAAAAATAACAAAAAAAAGGAGATTTAAACAATAGTTTAGTTGGTAGCAATAATATTATATGTTTTTAACAATAGATTATTTATAGATTATATTTATTAAACTGTTTATTTAATTCTAAATAATTATTTTATTATATTTATTATTTTTTTTTTTTATATCTTTAACTTTAAAGAATATAATCTTGTAAATTTTTTTGACATGATATTTTTTGCATGAGTTACATAATCATTTATACAAGGAAAACATCATATGGTAATATATGAATTTGGGGGCGTTCTCAAGCGTCTCAATTAATGGATCAAAGTATGTCAAAAATGTGTCGGGAATTAAACTTTAATTAACGGAAAGTAACTTTAATCTATCGATCAATCGAGCCTGTCATTAAGATGAATAAGATAGTTTACAACACGTAAAAAGACCCAAATTCCGTGCAACGCTGCACATGATATTGTGCTTTTTTATGTATTTTTCTGTGTATTGTCCTGTGTAGATTTACATACATATTCACATGTATTAACGTGCACATTCACATATATTAACATGCATAAGCATTAACACACCATTTTGGGAGTTGAGATAGTAGGTGATGCAGAGGACATGAGGAAATTAATTGAAGGCGGGTAAGGATATACAAAATCCAGGTCAATCACATATGTGGGAATGTTGACAGCTCTGGTGGGTTTTAGCCATGGATAAATGGTTTGTATACCTAAAGTC